TATCAGAAGCGCGGATCCCATATAACATTTTGTGACCATGTGCCAACTGGCCGCCGCTAGGAGCAGTTCGATCGTTTGAAAGTCCGTGGGCGATCGAAAGTGGAGCGTTACATTGACATTAGATGGCAGCATTACAAACCATTTATTTTGACCATTCGAATATTTTCCTTTTTAATCGTCAGATGTCAGAAACTCCGGATGTTTTTTGTGTTATCATTGGAATGGTTTTATAAATAGGATTGGAATGTTCTAAAAATAGATCCCTTAAGAAGCATTGCGTAAATTTGTAATGTAAATAATAATACATTTAGACGAACGAAGCTTGCAGTCCTTGTCCTTGAATGAATGCAATTTCATACATTCTATTCACAGGCAGTAAAATAGGCAGGTTCCACATTTTTACTGAAAGCGGGAGATTTTGTTATTAAAAAACGATCAAAAAAATTTTAAGGCAAAATATTGTCCGTTGCAAGCAGGCAGCTACATCATTTCCACATTCACATTTGATAACTAAATTTCGCGAATCAGCTTTTTTATAACCATGCAGCATTGTGCACAAATAAATCGGTCCCAGTTTACGTGAATTCGTATACCTACTAGAGCTGAGCGATAAATGAAATTGTTATCGATTTATCGATAAGTCTGTTCAGTCTGATAATTATCGATTAATCATTAATTGAAAACTATCGATAATTATCGATAACTTTAATCACTTATCGTTAACTTTCGATAATAATCGACAATTATCGATAAATCGTAAGGCTAATTTTCGATAATGATCGATAACGTTTGATAATTATCGATAACTTTTTATAATTATCGATAACTTTTTATAATTATCGATAACTTTTGAAAATAATTAATAATGATTGTTAGCTGCTGATAATAATCGATTATTATTGCCACGAAAATTGTCTATATTTATCGATTAATAAATAAGTAGCGGAAATTATCAAGAGAAAACTATCGATACTTTTTCATAAATCTCATCGATATATATTCTCAATCGATATATTACATCATCCATGTGTACACTCGCTAACATTTTTGTTTTTTTGGTATTGATATTGCGAGAGATAATTTAAATAAAACAGGATCTTTTGATGCTCAAGTTGTCTGAAATCAAAGGTGATCAAGTGGACGATAATCCTCAAAAATGAGTACAGCAGTAGGTTGTGAATTGTGCGATCATATGGCAACTCAACAATGCTCTTACATCGCTTTTGTTGGAAGTAAACTGGTATACCTAAACATTGAAAAGTTTATGTCGTTAAAAATTCTCTCGATAATTTGATAATTATCTATCTTAATAGTTTAGTTGTGAGATTAATCGATAGATTATCGGAAATTATAGGTTTATCGACCAATCCTTTAACATTTTCGATAAATTACACCGGTCTACAGCATTTTTGCGCATGGGACATGTATACCTTATTTTTATTGCTTCTATAGCCACAAATAAGAATTAGAACAAAAAATGGTTATGTATTTGTTTTTGTGTGAAAAAATGCAAAAAACCAAAAAATAAAAATACCTATAGAATCCTACTTACATAGGCATGATTTATTAAATGGTAACGTTTCTACATTTATAATTTGTTTATCTTAGAGTCTAAATGTTTAAAAATGGAACAGTTTTGCTGTTTTTGTCATGTTCAACTGAATCTGATCTTCCATCATGCTTCCAACTTCCTGGCCTTGGGAAGGTGTCTAAGTTCCATTGTCTCGAGAAAGTGTTGTCCTTATTCCAAATAAGCTCCCATATTATCCTTAAATTGATCTAAATGAGAATGTAACCTGTGCATCTTTATTCTTTAGAGACATTCTATACCCCATGATACAAAACCAAATCCTGTCAGCTCGTCATAATTTTCAGCTCTATGGTTTCCCAGGAAACACTGAACGGGAAACCATGGAATATTGCCTTAAAACTGTTCCAGGATTTTTTTTTCCTCTTTGCTAAGTAACCGCGGAAAAATATCACCCTCCATTTTTCTTTTTTTTTAGGGAAAACAAAGATTCCAGCTTTAATTTTCGCCCCTGAAAGCTTTCAATCAAATCGCTGTAACTTTTGTAAAAGCAAATATTTTCGATGTCTTAATCGCACTTTTTATTTATTTTTGCTTATTATAAGTAGTCAGAATATACAGGGTGATTCCTATAGTACCTGCCACCGTTTGGGAGCGTGTAGGTGGTGTGTAGGGGAGTATTTTGATATAGGACACTTGGGGTCGGAAATCTAAAATAAGGGTGCCAGAGCCAAATTTACCTTCTGGAATTTCGCGCCTGTAGGTAGCCAACCCAACCGGCCGGCGGTGCACACGGAGCGATCTCAGGCGGCGATGTGTGGCTGACACTTGATCAGAATTTTGTTTAAACCCACGAAATCCCGTCTGCAACGACGCGTATCAAGTGAATAAACACTATGGTAATAGTATAATAATAGTTGGCTAGATGTAGGAAGTGCATTGAGAACAACGGTGGCCACGTTGAACACTTGTAAACGTTATTGCTTTTGACTGTCGTTTTCCCTCCTTCCCTTCCATGTCGCTTCCTCGCGCTAACTCGCTCTGCATCGCTCCGCGCGAAACGTCGGTCGGTTGGGTTGCCTACATACAGGCGTGAAATTCCAGAAGATAAATTTGGTTCTGGCGCCCTTATTTTAGATTTTCGACCCCAAGTGTCCTATATCAAAATACTCCCCTAGGCACCCCCTATATGCTCCCAAACGGTGGCAGGTACTATAGGAATCACCCTGTATGTATAAATCCCATGCGCAAAAAAATTATTTTTTTGTTGACCGGTCGACCATTTTTTAAAATTTATCGATTGACTATCTATTAATCGATAATTATCGATAAGTTATCGATTAACCATTGAGAACAAATTTCAAACGTCAGAATTTAAAAGAAAAGAGGTTAACGACCTTTTTATTTTGTATCAAAATTGCCAGGTGTGACGTGTGATCCTAGATCAAGGGTCGGCAACCTGCGGCTCTTTTGATACCTATAAAGTTGCGGCTCTCCGTATTTATCTAAAGAAATTAGTTCATTTGTTCGAAATTCGCCTTTTTAATTAATCTTATTTTGTATCAGAAGTATACTTGCAGCAAATAATTATCTAATTTTTGACACTTGTTTACTTTCTGGTATTCTTTTGTTTTTTTTATTATAGCCAGCCTACTCCGATGTATAAACACGTAATTAATTAATGAGTAGGTACCTACTTTTGTGAAAAATATTGAATAACCTAAACACTGCGGAGTTTAAGCACAGGGCACCCCTTATAAACATTTAAGAGAAGACAAAAGCGAATAGCGAAATAAAATAGTGGTAGTTCCATTTGAAAAAGAATAGTTATAGCACTTTGAGCAAACGGCATTGAAACAACCAAATATTCAGGATGTTCTATTTAAAAAGATCAGTTATTAATTGACATCGTAAAAATGGAACACCCTGTACATTCAAAAATAATTTTTGTAGATCCGCAACCACCAATATTTTTACCAGGTATCTATCAGCTATGTAGGAAAACCGACGGACTGTTGCAGGACCCTGTATATAGCCAAAAACTATAATATTGAATCAAAAATTATTTGTGGCTCTTTAAGAACTGGGAAATTTTGTAAATTGTAATTTTTGGCTCTTCCGTTTCAATAGGTTGCCGACCCCTGTCCTAGGTAGTTTAACTGGTGGCAACGGTTTAACCGACACACACAAACATTAAGAATAGATAGGTTAAGGTAGGTACATTTAATTTCTGTTACAGTGATCAAGGATGCCTGCGTATTTTTTGCTTTCCTGTTCAAATGTAATTCAATCTTCCTTAAGGAATGTTAAGTAAGGTCACGATTCATGAAAGGAAGAATGTTTATCTTACGTCATTCAACATCCCGTGTGCCACATAAATGCCTTATAAGTACGTTTCTTGGGTATCTAGAATTCTGTATACAACAATTACAAATCGAGATAGTGGGTTCATTACAGATTCCTGTATAATAATTAACAACGGTAAAAAACTGACATTATTATTCATCTTTCTCGATGGTAGAGACATCTACGTCTTGTAATTTAAACTATTGAAAACAGTCACATATCCTGCCATTTAACCCGCGCTTCTGATAGTTATAAATTCAATGATATAACTTTACGAAAACTGAAACATAGCACTGTCATCACATGTCAGAAACGGCTGTGATACCACTACTACATTGCACTGTCATTATATTTCGGAGACGATACTTTGGATTCGGCACCTGCGCCGCCTCACCTAATACTGTCATTATATTTCGGAATTGGCGCTTTGGTTTTGTCAGATTCCCATTTTATCTCGCATTAGTACCTTATCTAAATGACAAATCGATAAAATTTAAGCAAGAATTACGCATTTACAAACATTTCTAAAAGGAAAAACAAACACTGAGACACAAATTCAAATAAAGTAAACCAAAAATTGCAATTATACCACATACAGGGGGTCAAATTATTACTGCTAGTGCTAAAGCCAAAATAACGTCATCATGACATAGTGTTGTATACAACAATTAAACATTAATATAAAATATCCAGACACTCGCTTCTCCATTCTGTGGTATTCTTTATTAGTTTAGTCTTACAATCAACCTATTCTCATGTAGTGTTAAACACTGGAACGAATGTTGAATCCGAAAAAGACCAGCATAGAGTACCTAATAGCATCGTTCTCACATAGTCAAATGTGCAGAATAACACAAAAAACACTTCTGAACAAAAATACGATTAAATGCCATTGAAAATTGTGCAAAAAGTGTAACATGTAACTTACCTGCTGAGTTATCATTATTTAAATTTAGAACACAATCGGCAAGACTCAATGGAACCCGTCGAAGATTGGAATAATGAGGAGTGTCGATGTAAAAGTATGAAACCTCTAGAACGAAGGCGGAGGCAAGAACATCAGCGCTGTCTGGCGCATTCGCTTGTGGGTACTCCAAACTACATTGCCCCTGAAGTACTACAGAGAACAGGGTATACTCAGTTGTGTGATTGGTGGAGTGTTGGTGTTATACTGTACGAGATGTTGGTGGGAAGTCCTCCTTTTCTTGCGAATACACCAGCGGAGACACAATACAAGGTAAATTAAATTAGTTTTATCAATGGTAATTGCATTAGATAGTCATTATTAGGGACCATCAAAAATGCACATGCATATGCACAAAAAATATGGCAAAAAAAGCATGGAAGATATGCATGAAAAATTAAATAATGCAAACTATTTAAACATATAAGCTGTATCAAAACAATTAATGAATAAGTATTGTTCTAAGTGGTCCATCTTAAAATTTGTTACTTAGTACGTAGTTATAGACAGAGAAACATCTTTCCGCATCGACAGGAGTAATTGGAGCATACTTTAGTTGAGGTATCAGATGAGGTTCAACATTTTCTTCAGCCAACATTCGTCATCTCAAATTTGTTGAACTTGAAATTTGGTTGCATTTTAAATTAATGCTGAATTGAACACCACTGATGTTTTATAATTTGACTTAGGCGCCATATTTTTTTAAATTTTTTTATTCCTTTTTTTTTCTTTTTGTTTTTTCTTTTTATTTTTTTCTATTTTTATTGTTTTCTTTTGTCTATGTCTTTCATAATTTTTATTTTATTTGATTTATTATTTGTTTATCTTTATAATTTATAAATAAAAATATAATTGTTGCAATTACTACCACCAACTTGTTTTGTAATAAAAATGGTTTAAAAAGTTAATAAAATGCTAACCTATCTTAAATATGCACAAAAACCCCAAAAATGGAAAATATGCATTATTTTGTTTGCGCCAATGTGATTATTGTTTTATTTTGAGCTGCATACAATGTTTACGTAATGCATAAAAGCATGAAATCTGGTCTCTAGTAATTATAGTATTAGGTATTGTAATGCTGATTGGCTAGAATTTAATTAATTTTTTTTACCAAAAATTGTAATATATGATGATAATATACAGATTTAACTGAACTTAAAATTCCACGCTCTTACGGCCTGTATTATACGACTTAACTATGTTGTTAAGGCATGTGATTGGATGTTTTTAAAACATATACAGAATAACATCATTGTTAACAACATTGTTAGCTGACAACATTAGTTAAGTAGGTATGCTTTATAATACTGGCCATTAATCTTACCAAAATGATAATGACGCGAAACTGTGTTAAATAGTTCAAATTGAAAATTGATAATTTACATAAATTACATTGATAGTTACTTATACTTACAGGTTATCAACTGGGAAACGACGTTACACATACCAAAGCAGGCGAATCTTTCTAAAGAAAGTACAGACTTGATATTAAAATTGTGTACAAGTGCGGATAAACGGTTAGGTAAAAATGCTAGTGAAGTGAAAGCTCATCCATTTTTTTACGGTATAGACTTTGAAAAGGGTTTACGGCGTCAATCGGCGCCCCATATTCCTAAAATAGAATATCCAACGGACACTTCAAACTTTGATCCGGTCGATCCGGATAAATTAAGAAATTCAAACTCGATAGATTCCAGCACGTCGGACGAATTCTTGGACAATTCTAAACCGTTTCACGGGTTCTTTGAATTCACATTTAGAAGATTTTTTGACGACGGTGGCGGCCCCGCATTTAATAAAATTAATCTAGACGACAATAATGAAAATCAAGGTCCTGTTTATGTTTGAGTTGTATCAATTTTTATGGGGTGAAACCCTTGTGATCAGTAATGTTTATGCTCTTGCCAATGACATACGAGTTTGCATGCCCAGAACGCTTGTAAGGCGTAAATTCGCAAAGAGATGCTTTTGTTTGCTTCTGTTGTATATTACGATTAAGCAGAATGATTATAAAAGTTATTTCTAAAATCATCAGCATCACTCAGTTACTCGTGAAGTACATTTTTGTTTATTTAAAAAGAATTTTTGGATATTATCTATTTACAGCTGTAAATCAATCACTGCCTAAGATTAGTTTTTATTTGCGAAGCATCTGTGATATGCTTGATATTAACACATTTTTTGCTATTTTAATAATGGATTCATCACATCTATTGGCAATATTAGCCAGTATCATCCCCTCATTTTCACATCTCTTCTCATCTGTAATCATTTCTTTATTAATGAAGATTAGTGTTATAATTTTTTTACAGTTGGTATTATCTTATATTCTCTACTTTGATCAGATGGTTTAGAATGTTATGCATTACCAAATACAATGTGCCTTATAATTAGAAAAATGTTATAGATTGATGATTTTAGAAATACGTAATCCACTAAATAGTTTAGCGGTGTGATCATTTTCATTATCGTATTAGTAAAAAATAAAACCAAAGTAAAGAAATGTCTAAATTGTGTTATTCTTCAACAGTTGGTGTTAGTATTGGTTTGTTTATTTACTTCATTAACGCAATATTTCAGATACTATCTGTTGACATACAACTTGCACAATGTAGGGCACCACCTGAGCCAAAACTATCATTTAATTTTCTTCTTTAACTTTATTCGATGTTTACCTATATACAATTTTGTTGACACTTTGTGTATTTTTGCACATGTTTGAGTTTTATAAATTGCATGTTAACAAATGTTGGCATTTGATCATTGATGATTATATTGGATCAATCAAAATTAGTTCAGGTATATACCCTACAGTAGTGCACTTTTTTATACTCTGTCAAATAATGCATTAAACCATGATTTCCAAGTTTACAGAAAGTTATGATAGTACAATCATGGCAAGAAATAAAGATTTTTACTTCATCTTAATCTATAATTTGAAATAATGGTGCTACTTGTTAATACATAATAAATGTGATATTTACCGATTATCCATAAAGACAATCTCTAATGTTAACATTATTCATTAATCGTAAGGCCGAAACATGTACTTTGTGGATCAATCTGTAATTCATCAATAAATTATTGTAAAATTTATTTAAAATTAAATTTGTATAATATGTAAAGTAATATATAAATTTTGCCATATACCGAAATTTATTGTAAACTATTTTGTAAATAATATAAATAAGATACCTAAATGTGTTTAACAACGAATTATGAAAAATTATGAAAAAGGTAAAAAGCTATGGTTATATGTATTTATTTATGTTAGTCTTATTTATGTTAAAATTGTTGTGTGATTTTAAGACTGTTATTAAAAAAAAACAAAATGGAGTAATCCAATAAGTTATGCCCAAACTTTTAGGCTACATGATCACAAAAAATTGAATACATTAAAATAGCTCTAGATGAGGTAACAAAAGGTATTTTCAACTTAACCAGCAGTGAACTGCTTTGTACTATAAAACTCTGTCAATACATAACTTTTTCGTTATTTTATTATTTTTCTATCAATTCCTTGTTTATCGATATCATTGGTCGAATCTGAACCCGAATGTTTTGTGAACTCGCAGATAAACAGAAAATAACGATTAAAACAAATTACATTAACTGTTGCGCTAATCACGGGACAATATGGACACAGAAGAAGCACTCTTTCACTTGACCACTCAGAATTTGTCTTAGTGGATTATGTGTGGTTGCTCGATTTGTCGAAAGTGAGTTTGTGTAAGCACCTGTTTTTTCCACACCATATATTTGTGGAGTCCACGGCTTTGCTGAACACCTACAACTCCTTATAGTTCAGACAGGAATTTCCTGGCTAAAGTTGAAATTTCTGAGGTGAAGTCCGAAATTTCTACTTCTGTGAATTGTTGGGCTTCCACATTAAGGCGTTATTAGCAATTTGTGAAATAGAATTGGAAATATTGATTTTAAGTCAGAATTTCCAAGGTTACTGCTAAAGTCGGAATTACTGCGATAAAGCTTTAAATTACCGATTCAAATCTGAATTCTCGAAATTAAATCAGAATTACAGAAATAAAATTATTTTCCGTGGTAAAATCGAAAATCCCAATCTTTGGAATTTCTGGATAGTTAGAAATTCGAACTCTATAGATAGTTGCATAGAGGTCAAAATTAGACAGTTAGAATTTGTGAGCTAAAGTTCAAGTGAGAGTTTATGATAGTGAGAACCTCTGAGATTAAAGATCATTGTGGAGTTTAAATTAATGTAGGTATCGGTCGAACTTTGTGAGGCTAAATTGAGAAGTTATATTCCAAGTCGGAATAAATGGGTTTCTGGGAACAAAGTGTTCAAGATAAGATATTTTTTAAAATTATAACTATTTTATGAATTAAAAGAACTTTTAGGGGCGAAAATGTTTAATGAACTCCTTATTGTAAGTGGACGTCCATTCAACTTGTGTAAACATGATTTCAATTGATTACACGTTCGAAACTATTCAATTCTAAAATTAATTTCGAATAGGATTAATTTTAAAGTAGCGGGTAAATCTAAATTTTTGTGTACATTATAGTGTGGCGTGTCAAAAATAGGGAACACAATTTCAGATTTTAATCCGCCAACCGACTAATGCTATATGAATCTAATTTATTAACCGAACTTTAGTTCAGGATTTGGAATTATTTACAAAGGATCGCAAAAAAGTACATATTCGTTTTTCCAACGACACTAATCTTATACGGTGTTCATGCCATCTATGAGTCATTGCCAGAAGTAATCCAACTTCGGGTCGTATGTTAGTGTGGTTTAAATGAAACGATGTTCGTGTGATAGTGTAAACCTGGCTTCAATTGACATTAAACGTCAGTTTATGACAAATGCGCAGGCGCCATTAAATATTGTGACAGTCAACAAGAAGGGGCGTGTACAAAAGGAGGAAACCAAACAATACGAGGCTCCATTTTGTTCTCTGTTTATTAGTATTTATAAATTATACCAAAATTATTTCCACAATCGCGAATAGGAAGATTGTACCATTATTAGAAATGCGTCTGTGATAAAATTATTTACGTGGCATTGTGAATATTGATCAGTGATAAATGCAATAGTTGCTGTTTTGTGTTATTTTAGTTGAACGTTATACCTACGTATTAGGGAGGATTGCATATCTGAAAAAAAAATAAAATGAATACAAGGGATGACGAATATGATTATTTATTTAAGGGTAAGTACTTTGTTGTACACATAAGTGCGAGTGGAATGTTTTCAGACCTTTTACGCGTGAATTTACCTGTAAAAATTATAAATGACTAATTTGACGTATGCCGTCACAAATAGAGTATTTTAATCATTTGTGAAGATTCAAGTCAAGGGTCAAATTGTAATATAATCAAGGGATATTAAACCCCAACCGTATTCATTCTTATTAGTGTCTCCATTTAAGTTATTGACTTATTTTAATTATGTTGTGATAATATACCAGTATAATTAACATTCTATTTGTGTCCAACTAACAGTGACCCATTAAACAGTTTTGTTGTCTCAATGTTTCCATAGGAATAAGGGACATAATTTTAGGTTAATATTGCATTAAAATGCCCTTTGTTATATAAATTCTTCACTTTCTTAATGCGGGATGTCTACGCTCTTAATGTGGTTTGTGGTTCACCTGATTTCCTTCGTTCTTTTTGATATCACTAGTGAAATGTGTGTTCGTTGCAATTAAACTGAATTGTGTACTTTGCACCTTTAGAGGACTACAAGTTCTAGGTGACTGAATTAATTTAATTTTTTTAGTTGTTTTAATCGGGGATTCTGGTGTTGGTAAAAGTAATTTATTGGCCAGATTTACTAGAAATGAATTTAATTTGGAATCGAAGTCAACGATAGGTGTAGAATTTGCCACACGTAGCATACAGGTGAGTGTAATCATATTTATTTATTTTATATTTATAGGACTCGATAATGAATTTTTGTAAAATGTGTCATTTGTCATAATCATTCATTTTTGCTTTTTTAATGTGTGATCAATAATTAAGGTCATGTCAAAAAGTCAATTTTACATAAATCTTACTGATCATCACTGACTAAGACCTACTGAATATTCATTTATTGTGTATTTAGTAATGACCGATTTTTAATTTGCTGTTGTGAGTGATTCATTCATGGAGGTGGCAGATAGGTATGTGTGGAGGGGAAACTTCAACTAATTTATTTAAGCTCTAAACAAAGTCTCCATTGTTGGTTAACCTAGGGGTGTTTCACTCTTGAAAAAATGTACCTACAAGTATTGCTGTAATCACAGTCCCTTGGCTATACCTGTCTCAAAATGCAGAGCGATTCTGAGAATTACTTTGTAGTTGCAAGTGTTTTCAGTAATTTTAAGTTACTGCAAAATAGCGTGGTCCACAGAGAGATGCCACCCTGGAGATTTAAGGTATTTGTATTGAATTTTGCCCTTTCACCTGATCATTCACCCTTGGAGTTGCTATCGCCGTTTGCACGTGCCTAATGCCGGTCAAGAATTGCAGTGAAATTTTTGTTTTGAATTTTCAAAAACTAATTTCATATTAGTCAAATAGCTGCAATATTGCGCTACAGCCACCTGCATGCACAATACCAGGGTATCTCATTTTTGATTGGTCGTTGGTTCTGGTCACCATATTGGAGCTAAATTCCAAACTGGCCAATAGAAAGCCTCCAAAACGATGCGGTACACTCCGTGCTATAATTATTATTAATTATACTGACTATCGTATTGACAGTGTCACCTGTTAATTGTCACGGCTTCACGTTACTACTTTACACTTTGTTTCTTGTATTTGCTTTATTTTACGTTTTATATAAACTCGATTTTTAAAGACGCATATGGCTTGGATTTACGATATTATAAGGTATGTAATCGCTTAAAGTGTTTTTAGATGTAAAACTCTGCCTAACCTTACTATTGGTAATTAATGTAAAATCTTTTCTCTGTTTTGCGTTTATAATGACAGTATTCCGATATCAAAAATAGTGCTGGAATGAGTTTCATTCCAACACTATTTTTGGTAACTATTTTCCACAACTGACAGATTTTTAAGAACATTTAGTATTCAGTGGTTGGCATGCTCGTCTAAATCATCCAGGCTGATCATATACGCGAATGTTCAATTCAAAGTTCTGCCTGGATGATTTAGACGTTAATACTTATCTCAACGGTTTAGTAAAATGTGGACTAATTTCACTTATTGTTATAACATTATGTTACAGTTATTAACGATACGGGTAATTGAAATCATTAGGTATTGAAAATTCAGTGTAGGTACTTAAAGAAATCCACATTTCATACAAATGAGGTTTTATAACCTAACAAAATTACAAAACTAATCTTTGTCACTAAATGCACAATTATTATAAACTTTTAGAATAATTGTGAAATTATTGCCTGGTAGCAAATTATGAACAGTCTCTTCTGCTAACTGTCGAAGCTCTGGAGGAGTGGAAGGAAGAATTTCTTCGCACATTATTCACTTTTTATTGAAAAAACTAAAATATACTGCACAAATTCGTATTTGACGCGCTTGTTAAATTGAATTTTTTCAAAATGTAGCGTAGCCAACTTAATTTCTTTATTGAAAAATTTTTGGTGTTGCCAACTTAATTTCTTTATTGAAATATTTATTACAGAAAATGTCAGAATTGTTAATTTTTTTAATACAATTAAAATGCTCAACAGAGAAAATAGTATAAAGTATATGTTGCAGAAGGCCTTTCTAGCACTCGTTCATTCGAACCTTCGCCTCTACGCGGCTCAGGTTCGAAACTTGAACTCGTGCTAGAATATAGCGCCTTCTGCAACTTATGCTTTAATATAGGTACTATTCTTCATTTAAAAATTGTATTACAAAAGTAACAACATTATGATTTTTAAATTGATCTTGGTGTTTTATTGGTAAAGACAGTTGTGCAAGCAAAAGGTTTGTGCAATGGAAATATCAATATGCAGCAACAGAAGGATTTCTAGATCGACTGCGGCGTTTTTTGTACATACAAAAGTGAAACACCTCTCATCATTATTGCATAGTGAGACAGACATCTTAAATATTTTGCATATTTTTCCATGTCAATTTTGTTTTTTATTGCATCACTAATTATTATACTTTGCATTCTTAGGTGGATGGTAAAACAATTAAAGCGCAAATATGGGATACTGCTGGTCAGGAACGATATCGTGCTATAACAGCAGCGTATTATAGAGGTGCTGTGGGAGCATTGTTAGTGTACGATATAGCTAAACACTTAACTTACGAAAATGTAGAGCGTTGGTTACGTGAATTGCGTGACCATGCAGACCAAAACATAGTTATAATGTTGGTTGGTAACAAATCAGATCTTAGGCATTTGCGCGCTGTTCTTACAGACGAAGCGAAAGGATTTGCAGAGAGAAACGGTTTGTCATTTATTGAAACTTCGGCGCTCGATTCGACTAATGTTGACACTGCTTTTCAAAATATACTCACAGGTAAGACAAACGCATTGGACGTCAAATTTAGTTCACAATTCAACTTATAGAAATCTATCGAATTGTGTCACAAAAACAAATTAGAGATCCTCCGGAAGGTGATACCATTCGACCGCAGAACGTTGAGCCAATTGATGTGAAACCTACCATGAACACAGATAGTGTACGTAAGCAGTGCTGTCAGTAACATCTTGAGAAAACCAATTTAAGATAGTTTTGCGTAAGTTTTTTTTTACTGGCAGTGATAATTAAAAATATATATATCAATTTTAGAAATCATCAACAGCATTAAATAGTGATTATGCCTACAACACAAATTACTGTATATTGTTTAGTTCATTTAATCATGGATGTTCTATACATAAGCTAGTGACTTAGCAGTGAATTCAGCTGTTTTACTGCACATTTATATGCTGATGTAGATTCTTATGTTTTATTTTTTTTATAACAGATATTTGTCACTGGGTATTTTATGTTACTAGGCCATTTATTCATTGTGTTGTTTTTCGTATTAAAAATTTATAAACTTGTGATTGAAATGTATCATTAGATAAATTATATGCTTATTTTCCATTAATATTATTGAACTTTTCCGTTTCTTTTTTAAACTGTACATTTTATTCGATTTCAAAAAATGTTGATCATTG